GTGGCCTCTCCTATGCAAGAAGGGTCCTCGGGGGCTTCCCTTCCTTCCCACTCTGGGGATGGATTTCCCCTCCACCTTCTTGGTCCCTGCACGCCTCCTTAACCAGTTCCAGCCTCTTTGCAGCTGCCTGGTTGTGGGAGGTTGAGGGCAGCAAGCACAGAAACTCCGAGCTCCTGTTTATTCAGGAACTCTAGCATGTGGTGGCCTCTCCTATGCAAGAAGGGTCCTCGGGGGCTTCCCTTCCTTCCCACTCTGGGGATGGATTTCCCCTCCACCTTCTTGGTCCCTGCACGCCTCCTTAACCAGTTCCAGCCTCTTTGCAGCTGCCTGGTTGTGGGAGGTTGAGGGCAGCAAGCACAGAAACTCCGAGCTCCTGTTTATTCAGGAACTCTAGCATGTGGAGCTTTCTCCTCCAGACAGGTCTCCTGCATGCAGGGGAGGAACCAGAAGTGTCTGTCCGCGCTGCAGGGGAGGCTGGGGGAAGTTTTTAAAGCAGCCCCTGGGACTCCCTGCAGCGTTTGATAGCCACTGGACTCCCCAAAGGCCAGATTAAATTGTTTGGTGGGCTGGAAGTTCCTCACACCTGCAGAAAAATCAGAAACCATTCAAATAACTAAGGAGTGCAGCACTGGGATACATCTCAGGCAAGGCATAGGATGAGTCATTCTTAATCCAAGATAAGAATGGGTTTACTTACCCAGACTATATTGTTGCTCTTTGTGCTGGATGAGTAATTTCTGCATTACATGGCTGGAAACTCTTTATTATCTTTGTTTATAACTAATACATTTTGATAAACTTGATATTATCCCATTTTATCACTTCAATAAGAACTGATAACTGCCAGTGGTGGGCAGAAGGGGGCTGGTAATACTAATCAGTCTTTAGTTTTTTGGCTATTTTCAAATGCAAGGAATAATGGATAGAAGACACCACTTTGTCTGTGGGAGGAGGGGGAGATGGATTTTAAAACCAAGATAAATACACATTTTTACATTAGAACTGTAAACAACAATACTTAGATAACTCTGACGTGCTGTTTCTTATTAATTTGCTAGTCAAAACAGCATAGTGTATATTACTAACTCAGATGTTTAAGATCAACAACATTTCACACTGTGTATAGATCTCTTACCTAAAATTTCGTTAATGGCGCATTTACATTTTCCTTCTGTAGTTAAGCCTTTAGGACAGGTAATACAATTCCACCCATCTTCAGTAATACCATTCTAAATGAAGTATAAAATATTTGTTAAATCTTTTATAAAAGTCCACTAGAACTAAAAAAGTCTGACCCATATATTTAAAATAGAAGTTATTCAGGTATTTTAACATGGATAACATTCACAAAGCTATCTGAAATACATACTAGAGACCCTAGCAAGGAGAACTATCAATATATTCAATGGGTCTCCATTCAGAATTAAGGATCTGTGGAGATTGTCAAGCCCTAGGTTGCCTTGCTGTAGGGTGACCAGGTGGCCAGAAATGGTGCTAAGGAAGGCTTCCTGCCTATTCTAGCAGCTCCTCAGAAGTGGCCAGCAGCAAATCTTTTGGTGGTTTTTTTTTTTTTTTTTTTTTTTTGAGAGAGACCAACCACAGGGCTCCATACTCTGCCCCACCCTAAGTATTAGCTCCGCACTTCTACTGGACAATTTTTGGGAGCTGTGGGGCAGTGCCACACACACCTACAGGCAGGACCCACTGCTGGCAGCTTCTCGGGTACAGCAAGGTCTGCGGTGTCAGGACAGGGAGAAAACCTACCCTAATACTCCTCCTGCACCACTGATTGGGGACCATCGGAGGTCAGCCTGCACTGCAAGCATCTACTTATTGGTTGAACAGTTAGTCATGTACACTCTAACATTCCTAGTCCACAATGGTGCTTTTCATCAGCAAAACTTTTGTTGGTCAGAAGTTGTGGGGTTTGTTATTTGATTTTAAAAGTATTTAGTTGTTTGAGAGAATGAGCAAATCAGAAAGTTATTCTGGGCAGTTTTATGCTTGCCTATTAACTTATTTACATTGGCTATTACTGGTGTGTCCTTATTTTAGTTTCACTGAAATTTTCTTGGCTATGGCTCACTTCTGCAAATATAAAAACTTCCAGCCTTATACACTATGAAAAATCAAATTTTCCCTCAAAAATTAAAAAAATAATTCTCATCTTACTTTCAAAAGAAGCTCATCGTGTTTGTGATCGACAGCTAAAAATTGTTGTAAAATAAATCACAAGTTTCACAAATATGGTGCTCTTACCAATACCTGAACACAAATTTTGAATAGTTCCAAGCAAAAATACTGCTGTTAAAATATTTTCTTAAAGTTAAAATTTTCCAAACAAATTTAAATAAGAAATTTTGTAATAAATTGAAAAAAAATCAAAACTTATAGAAGACCTATGACAGGCTCAGTCACAGAGCTCTCCCTAAGACTGTCACCTGATGTGCAGATTGTAGCACTGAACCTGCATAGCTGCCTTCTGGGGCACCCCAGGACCCTGTCCTGCTGAGCCAGAACCTCTGGTCTTCCCTAGTGATTATACCGTGTTGGTGTCACAGCCCACAGCAGAGTGACACAGACACTGAGATCAGCTCAGGTCTGGGAAGACAAAGTCAAAGAGACTTGACTCAGCAGCCAGGTGCACAGACCCACTAGGGCTAAAGCCCCAGATAAATCCATCTCACTGTGCATAAAAGGTATACAGAATGAGCTCATAAGTTATTCACTTCCTTTATCAATGAAAGAGACATGAACAGCTGTTTTCCCCCCAGGTAACAATTATTTACTCTGGGTTCATTAATAAACAAAAGATATTTTGGCAGATATAAGATTTATGTGATTACAAATAATAGCAGAACAAATCGAAGTATGTTATTAAGCAAAATGAAACAAAACATGTCCACTATGCTTAATACTCTAAGAAACTTGTTATATGTAATTTCTCATCCTAACAGGAGTTCTAATCATCTTATCACACAAGGTAGCCTGATCCTTCTCCCTGTTAGATGTTTACTGCAGCCATCTTAGGTAATAACTTGGGGTCTCCGGGCATCTGGCTGCAATCCCTATTCTTTGATTTCATGCTTTGTAGTGGTTAATTGAGGAAGAACTTTGTATGTGTTAGTTTAGGGGTGGTGAGGCCTGCATTCTTTCCCCCCTTTCCCTTTTCCCTATACCTGATGAGCTACTTAAGATAAGCATTGTTGCCAGTATAGCAAGAACAAGTATGAGATAAGGGCAAAGGGCAAGAACGCATAAACAATTCTGTTTACCCTAATGATGCCATACAGGCATCTGTCAAGCACAAGAAGTTTATTTCCTGACAGCTAACACCTGTGCCCCATAACTGGAAGATCAACATAACAAAGAAGCGGCATATCTTACGTCCCTTCCTGCAAGCCTGGGACCCCGGGTAGGCTGCGGACGAAGTGGGAGGTTGTCTCAGCTTCTGAGGCACCGGTACCCAAAGCCCATCGGTGAAGTCTGAATTGCTAGGCTCTGAGGCAGCCTTTAATACAGTTTTCCTGCCTTGTTTGTCAGTTTGGAAATTTCCAGGGCTTACTCATTAGTGCTGATGTAGAGCTTAGTTGTTAGTTATCGATCTGGTTCTGATCTGGATCTTCTTGTTCTTTGGCCCTGTTTACATGATCAGTACATTAGGGTAAACAGAATTGTTTATGCGTTCTTGCCCTTTGCCCTTATCTCATACTTGTTCTTGCTATACTGGCAACAATGCTTATCTTAAGTAGCTCATCAGGTATAGGGAAAAGGGAAAGGGGGGAAAGAATGCAGTTGTTTCTGGCTCATCAGGTATAGGGAAAAGGGAAAGGGGGGAAAGAATGCAGGCCTCACCACCCCTAAACTAACACGTACAAAGTTCCTCCGCAATTGACCACTACATGCTTTTATATAGATTTTGCCCATGGTGATTTTGTTCATTTCAAAATGTTGTCACCTTAAGTGCAAAAGTAGAGTGTACAAATGGCTTCCAGCATCAGATGGCCTGGTCACATGTCTGTGTAGGATCAACCACAGTCCAGACTCATAGGAGAAGCAAAACTGTTCACAGTTCATTGTCCCAAATACCATGCCATTAAGCTCCTTAAGTACTAATGGCCCTCACTTGGCAGGTATAGTTAAGGAAACAGGTTTATACCTCATATTTCTAACTTCAAATACAGAAATGATACGGGTCCACAAACAGACTTGACACATTCAGTAGATTACAAGTTTTCTAATAATAGGTTACATGTAATATTTGTAGTTGAGCTAGGCACTTTCATATTCAAAATCATATTTCCATAAAGTATTTGGGTTGCACAGTAAAATGGCAAAATGCATATTCATCACAGCACAATGTGTAAAGTTTAATACCTACCATACTCTCTGGACATTTTTCACAAATAACAGAAGGCCCATTATTATTAGAAACCATCCTAAATCCTGGTAGACATATACATGAAGTACCTACAAAGTAAATAATACATTTTATTTTTCATCCCAATTTATACAAATAAAAAACAACAGATCTATCATAGAGCACTTGAAGCAGCTCTTAAATGAAAACTCACAATTTCCTGCTTTAAACAACTGTGACATTTAAATAAAAACTTCAGTTAAAAAAAAACCCACTCCATTTAATGTTCATATTGGCATTCCATTTTTACCCTTCAAAAGTAGAATTACTCTAAAAGATAACTAAGGAAAATGGTCTTTGTGTGAAAAGAGCTTTAACAAATTATTCTGTACACTATTTTAAATTTAGTACTTCTATTTTTTTCTTTTATTCTAACATGAATAGTAATACAACCTATCTTCAAATATTGTAAATACTATTCTATGGGCTTGATCCTGTTAAGTGTATAGTGCTCACAACTTCCCTCAACTTCCACAGCTGAAATCAGTGGAACACCATGTTACACAGGAAAGGGCTCTTAATTATTATTTACTTCTATTGCTATTTCTATTACAAAACAAAAGCGGATATAAAATTAAACATATAAAATATTGAACTGTCAATATTTCATCTGAGAAACTTTTTTAAAAAGGACATTGTCAGCGAAAACCTTTTCAGATTTCTATTTTCCTACAATACTCTCTTACGTATCAACAGCATATTTTGAATTTTTAATTTATATACACACATTTCAAAAAGCAAATCTATTCTAAGTGCTCTGAGCTCTCCACAGATCACATAATATATTAAAACCTAAGAGTTAAGAACACCTCAGGAATGGAGGCCGTTTGTAACTCTGAAATGTTCGTAACTCTGAACAAAACATGATTTTCTTTTAAACACTGATTTAATACTGTTTTTAAAACTTTACTATGAATAAAAATGCAGCTTTCCTTTTTTTAATTAGTTACATTTAACACAGTATTGTATTGTATTTGCTCCCCCATTCTACTGCTGCCTGATTGCATACTTTCAATCCCATGTGATATGTGTGGCATCAACAGGTGTTGCTACATGTTCAGCAGTTTGCATTTGTGCTCACTCTGCGTGACACCCAGCTCTGCATAGACAGCTAATACAGGAGACCTTGAGTGAACTACCCAATGATCACAAGACCTGTTACGGTATGAAGGTACCCAGCTATAATTATTGGCAAGGCTCACCGAACCGTGGTGAGCCCCGTTCGCTAGCTGCGCTGTCCGGCGATCTACGCAGATCGCCCGAACCTGGCTCTTCTGGGTTATAATCTACTTGCCCTGGGTGAGTAGATTGTATTATTTGTCGAGCCCTGATTATTGGCGATGAAGCACGGTCCTAGCTCCCCGGATTAACGTCTATAGTCACACTAGCACATGCAGGCTCATGACTATGGATGTAGTTCAATCAGTGATGGGACTTTCTACTAGGGATGTCAGCACATAGACAACTACACAATTAACCAATAAGTTTGGGCTTATTGGTTAATCCTGTTGACTACATGCACACCACTCCCCCTTGCTGCCTCTGTGTCAGAGGCATCAAGGGAAAGCAGGGGGGCTAGGGCCTGTGAGGTTTTAAGGTTTTAGGAAAGTAGTGATAGATGTGTGAATTAACATACTAAAATAGATAAAAGGGTGTAACTGGTGCCAAATTGTACCACTCGGAACGATGCATTGGGGGTCTGAGATTAATGTGTGTGGGCAATAAAGCAGTTTCATCTACCCCGTCCGCTCCTGGGTTGCCTGTTTCTTCTCTAACAGAGCTGCCTGCCCCACCCCCACACAGCTGCCTCTGGTAAGGGGGCAGGCAAGAATTGGTACACACGGTGAGCCAGCTTTGAATCTAGTTCTCTGCACGTGCCAGCTCTGTAGAGCTGCCTGCCCCCCCCCTTGCTGCTTCCCAAAGAGGCAGTGGGGGCAGGCAGGAGCCAGTGCTCAGGGGGGAGCTGGCTTAAAAGCTGGCTCCCCATGAGAACTGGGTCCACCCAACTCCCCCGCAACACACACACACACACACACACACACACACTGGGGCACGGTGAGGGAGGGAAGCGAGGCTGCTGCAGACAGAGACTCTGTGAATACCAGTGCAGCCTTTGTCTGGGGGGAGCTCAGGCTCCCCGCAGAATGGGGCTGCAGACAGGAGCTGGTCTGCACAGGCAACTGTTTTTTAAACAGGCTCCCTTGCAGATCAGCTCCTGCATGCCACCCTGCACTGCTGCCTGTAATAGAGAGGCAGCAGCACAAGGTGGCAGGGGTGCATGTGTGTCTCAGAAGTGGGGCTGGGAGCGAATAGTCATGTAACCACTAAAATTTGTTGCAATTACATGACTATTCAATTACACGCTAATACCTTACTTTCTACTACTCCCTCTGACACTCCATTTTATACATCAGTACAAACAAATTATGTATTGCCCCTCTGATGTAGTTATTTGACAGCACTCTCTGACATAGCCAGTTACAACCCATCACCTGTCCATCACACTGTCATCCTGAACGTATTTTTAAAAGGGGTAAGTGTGTTTGTTATCTTTTGGGAATGTGTTGGTGTTGAGGTGTTCTGGTACAATTTTCTGGAATGCGTTTGCAGGAGTGCTATACCCTAAGCACCTCCTCCCCTCCCCAGACAGCGTAGGAGCTGCGAGGTTCAATTTCAATTCCAACAGCCACCCACCCACATGTCGGCTGCCTGAGGGATGCTCAGGGGCCAGTGGCGTGTGGGGATGGGGTTAACCACCGGCCTCTGCAGTGCAGAACCGATAGGGGACCATGGGGGTAAGGGGACAAAGTAGGGAAGCTGCATGGCTTCTCCAACTGCATGCCCGGGGAGCCATGCAGCGCGCGACTCCCGCTGTCCCAGCCCTTACCAGGGCAGGTTGGAGCATGGCTCGCAGCAACCACAGAGCATGGGGAAGGGAGAGGTCATGTGGCTGAGGGCAGAGCTGTGGGACACAGAGTGATGTGTGATGTCACTCTGTCGTCCTGCAGGAAAAACCTTTTTAAAGTATAGTAAGAAAATAGAAAAATAAGCTTTCCTGTTTTTTCAGCTTCCAGGCTGTTTCTTTACTATGAAGTAGAACTTGCTCATAAAATTCACACCCTCCCTCAATGTAGAGAGGGATATACACAGCTGTCTGTTCCAGGTTATGATATCCACACACACACAGATAGGCTTTTCACAATAAAAAAAGAGGAATTTTATTAACTACAAAAGACAGATTTTAAGGGATGACAAACAGATCAGAGCAGATAACTTAAATCAGTAGTCACCAACCAGTATATCGGGATCTACTGGTAGATCTTGGGGCCTCTGTCAGGCGATCTTGACTGGTTTGGCTGAGAGGCTATCAAGTGCAGCACTTCAGCGGTTCCCCCTCTGCTGTGCATCTCCTACCCTTTGCCTTGGAGCTGTTTCCCTCTCCCACCCTGTATTCTATCTCCACAGAGGGGAGCACAACAGGGTTTGGGATCGAGGGAGTTTTCTGGCTGCTTTTGAGAGTGGTGCAGGGCCAGGGCAGGGGTGAGCTTGCCTTAGCTCCACTGCACCACCATCCAGGAGCCACCTGTGGTAAACAGTATCCAGCTGGAGCCTGCATCCTGAATCCCTGTCCCCGGTATGAACTCCCTCCTACACCACAAGCCCCTCTTAGATCCAAATTCCCTTACAGAGCCTGTACCCTAAACCCCTCCACCCCAACTCCTCGCCCCAGGTAGAACTTTCTCACTTTCCAAATCCCTTAACCCAAGACCAGAGCCTGTTCCCCAATCCTCTGTCCCTGCCTGATGAAAGGGAGGAAGGATGGAGCGAGCAGGGGCAGGACCTTGGAGAAGGGGCACAAAGGAAGGGGAGCAAAGCTATTTGGGTTTGAGGTAGATTCTGGATTACACTTAAATTCAAAAAGTGACCTTATACTTTAAAAGGTTGGAGACCACTGACTTAAATGAAACAAAAACACAACCTAAGCTTAATATACTAAAAAAAATGGTTATAAGTAGCAAATTTGTACCTTGTGGCTATGTCTACACTATAGCCTCTTGCACAAAAACATATGCAAATGAGGCAAAGCGTGGAATATCACCATGCCTCATTTGCATAATTAATTAGGCTCCATTTTTTGCTCAACAGGCTTTTGCACAAAAAGGAGTGGTCTTCACGGTTCCTTTTTGCGCAAAAACCCCCTCTTGTGCAAAAGCCATTCTTCCGCATTTTTTTTCCAGGAAGAACAGCTCTTGCACAAGAGGGGGTTTTGCACAAAAACGGAGCCTCATTAATTAGGCAAATGAGGTGCGGTGATATTCCACGCTTCACCTCATTTGCATATGTTTTTGTGCAAGAGGCTATAGTGTAGACATAGCCTGTGTGTTTCAGGCAGATTGCAGAGACTCTTAAAGGCAAAACGCACTTGTTTGAAGTTTAAAACTCCAGATAGCCCATTTGCAAGTGAGACACCCCACTCGCCTGTGTTCAGTCCTTCTCCCCTAGTCCGGTTTTATTGTTCTCAGGTGTTTCCAGCAGTCTTTCTTTGGAGGTACGGGGGAAAGTCAAAACACAATGAAGAACAAAACACAATGATGCCACTCCCCTGCCTTAAATACGTTTTGCATATGGCAGGATTCCTTTGTGTCTCAGTCAGATTCCCACCCCTAGTCCATGGAGCGATACTAATATCATCATGGAGTTCAGTACTTGGTAATTCAGAAGCTGACTGTAGTAGGGATATAAAATCCCATAACAACATAAGAATGGTCAGACCCAGTATTTTGTCTGCCCACAGTGGCCAATGCCAGATGCCCAATTCCCAGCCTCTGACAAAGGCTAGGGACACCATTCCTACAGACACTGATGAACCCAATCTCCATGAATGTATCTAATTCTTTCTTGAATTCTGTTAAAATCCTGGTCTTCACAACCTCCTCTAGCAAGGAGTACCACAGGCTGACCATGTGCTGTGTGAAGAAAAATGTCCTTTTGTTTGTTTTAAACTGCCACCTATTGATTTTATTTGGTGACCCCTGGTTCTTACGTTATGGGGAACAAGTAAATAACTTTTCCTTAATTACTTTTTCCACACCACTCATGCTTTTACAGACCTCTATCATATCCCTCCTCAGTCTCGTCTTTTCTAAACTGAAAAGTCCCAGTCGCTTTAACCTCTCTTCCTATGGGACCCATTCCAAACCCCTAATCATTTTAGTTGCCCTTTTCTGAACATCTTTTTGGAGAGGAGGTGACCCATCTGCATGCAGTATTCAAGATGTGGGCATCCCGTGGATTTAGAGAGAGGCAATACGATATTCTCTGTCTTTATTCTTTAATCATTCCCAATGTTTAACATTGATTTTTGATTGCCACTGCACAGGGAGTGGATGTTTTCAGAGAACTATCCACAATGACTCCAAGATCTCTCTTTTGAGTAGTTATATAGGCAGTCCCCGAGTTACGCGGATCCGACTTACGTCGGATCTGCAGTTACGAATGGGGCTTTTCTCGCCCCGGAGGACGGGAGCGGCGGGACGCCCAGATGCGCTGCGGTCCGCCGCCCCCGTCCTCCGGGGCGAGAAAAGCTGCTCCCCGTCTCCGTGGTCTGCAGGGAGACGGGGGGGAAAACCCTGGAGCACGCCCGCAGCGGGACAGCCCGGGCGTGTTTGAGCTGTCCCCC